AATGGCTGCCAAGGGCCCCAACCTGTAGGCGCTTCCCTATAGCGCTGCCTTTGGCACGTTCTAATGGTTGCCAAGGGCCCCAACCTGTAGGCGCTTCCCTATAGCGCTGCCTTTGGCACGTTCTAATGGCTGCCAAGGGCCCCAACCTGTAGGCGCTTCCCTATAGCGCTGCCTTTGACACGTTCTAATGGCTGCCAAGGGCCCCAACCCGTAGGCACTTCCCTATAGCGCTGCCTTTGGCACGTTCTAATGGTTGCCAAGGGCCCCAACCTGTAGGCGCTTCCCTATAGCGCTGCCTTTGGCACGTTCTAATGGCTGCCAAGGGCCCCAACCTGTAGGCGCTTCCCTATAGCGCTGCCTTTGACACGTTCTAATGGCTGCCAAGGGCCCCAACCCGTAGGCGCTTCCCTATAGCGCTGCCTTTGGCACGTTCTAATGGTTGCCAAGGGCCCCAACCTGTAGGCGCTTCCCTATAGCGCTGCCTTTGACACGTTCTAATGGCTGCCAAGGGCCCCAACCGGTAGGCGCTTCCCTATAGCGCTGCCTTTGGCACGTTCTAATGGTTGCCAAGGGCCCCAACCTGTAGGCGCTTCCCTATAGCGCTGCCTTTGACACGTTCTAATGGCTGCCAAGGGCCCCAACCCGTAGGCGCTTCCCTATAGCGCTGCCTTTGGCACGTTCTAATGGTTGCCAAGGGCCCCAACCTGTAGGCGCTTCCCTATAGCGCTGCCTTTGACACGTTCTAATGGCTGCCAAGGGCCCCAACCCGTAGGCGCTTCCCTATAGCGCTGCCTTTGGCACGTTCTAATGGCTGCCAAGGGCCCCAACCCATAGGCGCTTCCCTATAGCGCTGCCTTTGGCACGTTCTTACGGCTGCCAAGGGCCCCAACCTGTAGGCGCTTCCCTATAGCGCTGCCTTTGGCACGTTCTAATGGCTGCCAAGGGCCCCAACCTGTAGGCGCTTCCCTATAGCGCTGCCTTTGGCACGTTCTAATGGCTGCCAAGGGCCCCAACCTGTAGACGCTTCCCTATAGCGCTGCCTTTGGCACGTTCTAATGGCTGCCAAGGGCCCCAACCTGTAGGCGCTTCCCTATAGCGCTGCCTTTGGCACGTTCTAATGGCTGCCAAGGGCCCCAACCTGTAGGCGCTTCCCTATAGCGCTGCCTTTGACACGTTCTAATGGCTGCCAAGGGCCCCAACCTGTAGGCGCTTCCCTATAGCGCTGCCTTTGGCACGTTCTAATGGTTGCCAAGGGCCCCAACCTGTAGGCGCTTCCCTATAGCGCTGCCTTTGACACGTTCTAATGGCTGCCAAGGGCCCCAACCTGTAGGCGCTTCCCTATAGCGCTGCCTTTGGCACGTTCTAATGGTTGCCAAGGGCCCCAACCTGTAGGCGCTTCCCTATAGCGCTGCCTTTGGCACGTTCTAATGGCTGCCAAGGGCCCCAACCTGTAGGCGCTTCCCTATAGCGCTGCCTTTGACACGTTCTAATGGCTGCCAAGGGCCCCAACCCGTAGGCACTTCCCTATAGCGCTGCCTTTGGCACGTTCTAATGGTTGCCAAGGGCCCCAACCTGTAGGCGCTTCCCTATAGCGCTGCCTTTGGCACGTTCTAATGGCTGCCAAGGGCCCCAACCTGTAGGCGCCTCCCTATAGCGCTGCCTTTGACACGTTCTAATGGCTGCCAAGGGCCCCAACCCGTAGGCGCTTCCCTATAGCGCTGCCTTTGGCACGTTCTAATGGTTGCCAAGGGCCCCAACCTGTAGGCGCTTCCCTATAGCGCTGCCTTTGACACGTTCTAATGGCTGCCAAGGGCCCCAACCTGTAGGCGCTTCCCTATAGCGCTGCCTTTGGCACGTTCTAATGGTTGCCAAGGGCCCCAACCTGTAGGCGCTTCCCTATAGCGCTGCCTTTGGCAAGTTCTAATGGCTGCCAAGGGCCCCAACCTGTAGGCGCTTCCCTATAGCGCCGCATTTATCTCGGGGGAAAGATAGGAGCCATATTAGAGAGGGGAAAAGAACATATTTCACACTTTATCCTTGACTGAAAACAGTTTGAGATATAAAAAAACCCTCAGCACAAGAAAAGCACATGAAACACGAGACAAACATTTCAGCAGAAGGAAAACATCAGACAGACGCCACCTGAAGGTCAATCTGATATCTGAGACATTAGTTGTGTGTAAGATGAGTTTGTTCAGTTTGTCCATGAACGCCGTCCACAGGACATTGTCCTTGATAAGATGGACGTTTATCAACCGGCGCTACAGTTCTGGGCGCGTCCACAGGTGGGGGAGGGGGAGCAGTTCTTCCTGGCCATTTCGTCATAACATCCAGGGGGGACTTCGATAAAGGGGGGAGGCCGAGTCCAGAATAACACTTATTGTTTTGAGAGCAGGCTGCACAGAATTTACCGTCAGCATTGAGTCTTTTCTTGCTGGCTCTACGTGGTGAATCCAATATTCCAAATGTGTTTGGATTTTCCACCTTGAAGCGAGCGTGAACATCTACGATATTATCCAATCTCTCCTTTGAGTTCAACCCCCGAAGCCAGCCTGCGTTCAGTCGCACCCAGCATATCACAGCCTAGATACATCAGCTATCCTCCAAATCCAAACAGGAGAAATCTGAGTATCATAAATCAAAAAATCCAAACATCTTCGATATCCTTGTGACAACATTGTGAAACACACCATCCTCCAAGCCTTCCAGGAGTCCATGGTGTATCCCAGAAAGTAAGTCCCGGCTGGACAGAACGGGCCCCCCTTTCCATGTCTTACAGTTGAGAAAATTTGATCAGTTGCACTGAGAGACCAGCTGATCAGATCCACTGTTTGAATCTGGGTGATATGAAGACACAGCAAAGCAAGACAGGCAGGGAGGGGCAGGAAAACACGACCGCCTCCTTCAAGAGTCAGAACAGAACATTAATCAATCATTTAATTTCGTTTTTTCAGTATAATTGTCTTATTTTAATGATTAATTCCTGTTATCTTTAATTATTTGTTATTGGCTTTTGGCCACAATATTATTTTTCTTTTTCTCATGTAGAGCTCTTCCAACTGTGCTGCAGAAATAAACTTGTCTAGACATGCCATGAAAGCTAAACTAAGCTCTAAGTTAAACTCATCTCTAGGCTAAACTAAGCTAAGCTAAATTAAGCTCTAGGCTAAGCTAAACTAAACTAAGCTAAACTAAACTGAGCTAAACTAAGCTCAAAGCTAAACTTTGCTCTGGGCTAAACTAAACAAAGCTGAACTCAACTGAGCTTAACTAAGCTCTAAGCTAAACTCATCTCTAGGCTAAACTAAGCTAAGCTAAATTAAACTCTAGGCTAAGCTAAGCTAAACTTAGCTCTAGGATAAGCTAAACTATGCTCTAAGCTAAACTAAGCTCTAGGCTAAACTAAACTAAGCTAAAATGAGCTCTAGGCTAAACAAAGCTAAACTGAGCTCTAGACTAAACTAACCTAAGCTGAACTAAGCTCTGGGCTAAAATAACGTTCTAGGCTAAACTAAGCTGTAGGCTAAACTAAACTAAGATAAACTAAGCTCTACACTAAGCTAAACTAAGCTCTAAGCTAAATAAAGCTCTAGGCTAAATAAGCTATCGGCTAAACTGAACTGAGCTCTAAGCTAAACTAAGCTCTAGGCTAAACTAAACTAAGCTCTGGGCTAAACTAAAGTGAGCTCTGGGCTAAACTAAGCCCTAGGCTAAACTAAGCCCTAGGCTAAACTAAGCTCTAGGCTAAACTAAGCTCTAGGCTAAACTAAGCTCTAGGCTATGCTAAACGTAGCGCTAAACTAAGTTAACTAAACTAGCTAACTACTAGCTTGTTTCTGTTTTTGAGACAAAAAGAAGTTTATTGCTTTGTATGTTTTTATTTGTTCTGTCTGTTTTTTATGTCTTACTCTTGTTTGATGCAGACTAAGGTTTCCAGGTAGTTTATCTTAGTAACGCAGCAGCAAGTTAAACTGTGAACGTCAGCTATTGAGCGCCGCTTACGCTATGCGCCTCGCCGCCTACGCAGCAGACATGGAAACCATCAGTGAGTCACAGCTTTCCGTGACTCTTATCCAATATTTCTTCCTTTTAATGTTTCTACCTGCTAATAATAATGAGTGAAATAGGCTTCCCTCATAAAAATGCTTTTATCCGTTTTTTTTGTTTGTTTGTTTGTTTTGTCATTTTTCAGTGAGATAAAATAAACAAAATAACCAATATCGATACCGATGTTAAAGCTGGACAAAAATAAGTAGTCATTGAAAATAGCAGTTTTGTTATCCATTTCTGACACTTTGAAAAATAATAAACTCAAATATATTTTCATATGCTGATATCAAATAGATTTTTAAAAACGCGGTATCGATCTATTTTACTTTCAGAATCTGGTGAAATTTCATCGTTCTGTTACAAACTCTCGTGAGATTTTGCAAATTCTTGTGAGATTTTGTTAGTAAAATAGATCGATACCGCGTCAATATATCAACATATAAAAATATGGCAACATTTGGTGAATTTTCGGGGGATTTCGTAGCATAACGATGACATATAGCAATATTTCATTAGTAAAAGAGATTGATATGGTGTTTTTAAATGGCAATATATCAGCATATGAAGATATTGGGATATTTTAATGGATCAATATTTTTTCCCTCGTCTTTAGAAGTTTTTAAGTCTGTAAAAAAGAAGTTTTTGAGGAAGAAGTAGTATTTTTTATTTTTTTTTAGACTTTAGAAACTCAGAAGCTGATCAAATATCGGGTTAAATATCGGTGGGGTGGCCGATGTCCGATATTCAGTTTTAAGGCCGATACCGATAGGGGGCCCATTATATCGTGCATCCCTAAAAAAAGTTCAGATTTATTTAACGTCGTCAGGCGGAGAGATAGAGCTCCCCCCCCCCCCCCGGGGAACCAACCCACCTCCTGTTTTATGGGGCCCTCAGCAACTGCCTAGTATTGCCTTATGGTAAATCCCCCCCCCCCGGTTTTCTGTTTGCAGGACCTGGGCATGGAGTCGACCTCGCTGGACGACGTGCTCTATCGCTACGCCAGCTTCCGGAACCTGGTTGATCCCATCACCCATGACCTGATCATCAGCCTGGCCCGATACGTCCACTGCCCCAAGACGGTAGGAGCCCGCCGCCCGCCGCCCCTCTGAGCGCTGCTGAGAGCTTTCCCTCAGACTCCTCAGGATAAATTCATTCATTCAATCTGCTCAGTTAAAGGAACAGGCCAGCATGGGCCATAAATATTGCAGACTACAGTCAGTGTGAGCGAGCAGGTCGCAGTGCGGCCCCCATCAGATGATCTCCTGAGTCATTGTGCCTGATAGTATCAGGTTATGGAGGCGCTCTAAGTGGTCGCGTGTTTGTGTGCTGATTGTTGGTCATGGACGCCTGCCAGCGAGTTGCAGGCAGAGAGAAGGACGAGAACCACTGTGGCTGTTTGCATGAATAATGCAGGAAGGAAGGAGGCAAAGATGGCGATGAAGACAGAAATTAAAAGGTCTGACGTGTAATTTGGGGGCAGCTGCTAAAAACATGGCTTCCCACCAGACAAATAATGTAAACCGTAAAAAGAGAAATCAATGTGCAGTTAGTGATGTAGTGGTGCACCTACAGCTGTGCATTAAAAGCCCAAAACATGGAGAATACGCAGAAACCAATCAAATAAATATCAGAAGTCTCATTTCTAAAACATTTCCTAGGAGTCATGCTAACCGTGAACTTAAGCTAAACATCTGAAAATATGGCTGATTTCTAAAACCATGCTGACATGGTCCATGCAAAGCGCTGCGTATTTAAATGATCAATTATGTTTCATGGTTACTATGACAACCACAGGGAGGAGAATAAAAAAAAGCAGATGTGTTGGTGAGTGCTGTGGAGAATCAATTAAATTCATTCTATTCAGTTTATTTCTATAGCTCCAATTCACATCATGTCATCTCAGGTCACTTTCCAGTTCACCAGATCATCCAGTCAGATTGATTCAAAGTTTTCTATCTAAGGAAAACCAGCTGATTGCATCGACTCATTGACTCTTCAGCAATCCCTCACACTAAGCATGCTTGTAGCGACAGTGGAGAGGAAAAACTCCCTTTGAACAGGAAGAAACCTCCAGCAGAACCAGGCTCAGTGTGAGCGGCCATCTGCTGAGGCCCACTGGGGTTCAAGGAGACGGAAGCAGACATAGAAAAAGAAGCATAGATACAAAAGGCAACTGTCAACCAGCTCCACAGGCGGCCCAGTCCAGGAAACACACAGCCAGGCAGAATCAGATGGGCATGTTTGCCTCAGTTTAAAGGCTTATTATATAGTTCAATAACAGTTAATTACGTTTAACACCTGTGTGTGTTAAACATAATTAACGGTTTAAACATCTATATTTAGACGTTTTTCTAATCTAGATACGCAGATTATTCTTATTACCTCAGCGTGAACGTGTTCTCCCTTCTTTCAGTTAAATCTTAGCTCAGCCTGTTGATCATAACGGCGAAGAAACGTCTGAATATTGCGCAACCTTTGATTTTTTATTTAAGCTGCTTCTCAACCTTTGCTATCTCTCTCTCTCTATAGTTTCTTTTATTTCTTTTTATATTTTTTATTGTTCACTGACAAATTCGTCCTGTTGTGTTTTTAGTAGTGTTGTGCCCATTTTTTGGCCCTGATACCGATAACCAATACCTAACTGTGCAGTATCGGCCGATACCATCTGTTTGTAACTGATGTGTTTATATGAATAACTGCATCCTACTGTGATGTAGAATAATCACCATCATGGCTTCATGTCAAGCTGCTGCCTTCCTTTGTGAAGCAGGAAAAAGACTAAAACAAAGTGAATCCAGTAGAACTTTTTATTTCCTACCTGGAATGGGTGACAATAGTTGAAGAACTTCAAAATGGTATCAGTGCCCTATTGGTTGGTACTCGCTGATATGATACCACCATCTTAGTGCATGGATCAGAGCCCCGCCCCACACTGGTATCGGTTTAACTCTAGTTTTTATGTGGACAATTATAAAATCTGTCCAGGGAGAACAAATGGAAAATAGCCTTTTGGCAAATTCTGGTGCTTTGCAGCAATGCTAATTCAATTATCCCCCGTTTCCACTTCCCTCTGAAACCGATCCGAGTCGAGTTCGGACTGAGCTTGGATCAGTTAACCGTGCCGAGCTCAGTTCCTTATGACCATTTACACGTCATTCTAGCATGGTTCCTCGCCTCCTAGTGGCGATCTCCGGTACTACTGCTCTCTAGAGGGAAACAAGCAAACCAACATGGCGGTGCCCGTAACATTAATGGAAATTTGTGAAGAGTCAGGTGAAGAAGGCAACCTTTGGTAAATTTACTTGACAGAGTCGGCTTTTAGGAAGTCGATATAACAAACGATAATCTAATCAGGGCTTCCAGACGCAGGAAACAACGACAGACGTTGAGGCTCATCAAACTGCTAATCATCACTGGAAACCATGTGGGACGGTAGGAAGCTAGGATTTTAGGAATGTCTAAAATTTCCTGACTATGGAGGCTGGCTGTCAGGAGATGAGGCGGTCTGCTCATGCGGTCTTAGTTATCTGAGAACCGAGCCAGAACTGAACCGCGCAGAGCCCTACTGATGAACTAGCACCATGTTAGCGCAGTTAGCTTAAGTTGTGCGTTCCATTTACACTCAACAGTTATCTCAGTTACTGTGCTCAGAACGATCTTGACATGGTTTCATTTGTAGGGACACTGTTCCTGCAAATATATTAGATAAATAACAAAAATATGTATGTCAGGGATCCTCACAGCTCAGTAATGCTAGCAAAGGTCTGATCTGATAAAGTCGATCTATGATAAAAGTTTCATTCAACCAAAGTTGATAGTGAATCCAATGCATGAAAAAAAAGTAACACAAGAAGGCAGGCGGTGCACACAGTCACTGGAACAAACCTCACAGAGACAATCTGGCAGAGAATGACTGAGAGCCAGATGTGAATTGGTCTGATAACAGCTGGAAATGATGTTGGCGATTAGCAGAAAGGCAGATTCATCTGCTCTCACTAATTAACAGAGTGGAGGCAACAGATTCAGGTCAGGGATGTTTAACAGACACTTTCCTTCTCAGAGGACATCGACTTCATCCAACAGACTGAACCCGCTTTGCTTCCAGCAGTGAAACAACAGGCCGGTTTATGCAGACGGATGTTTTTTTTCCTCCATCATTTATGTTTTTCTGCTCTGTTTCCTTCGCCTCCATCTGCTGCTGTGTTATTTCATGGATCAGTATGTAGAAACAGTGAATTTCTACCTTTTCTACCTCTTTGTTTTGCATTTAAAATGATTTCTGACATGGAGGTCCAGTCTGCCTCTGCATGGAGACTCTGTTTTAGTTAATGCTGGAGGCCAGGAAGCTGGTGAATGAACCCCATCACCCCCGTCACAGAGAGATGTTGAAGAATTAATCACACATTTCCATAAAAACCTATTTGGCAAAGAGACCCGATGAATTAATTTCTTCTTTTTTTTTGTGTTTCTGCATGACTGCAGGATTTGCTTGATTGCGTCGTTTAAATTCAGTCGCTGGTTTGGATCAATTGGCCTAATTGAAGGGTTGGAAGGAGACGCTGAAGAAAGGAAATCAAACATCCTGCATAAGTCGTGCTTTTTGATAATTAAACATCGAGCTTCATGGAGTGAGTGTGATTGGTGGATGAACACGGTAAAACAATCTAAGAGTTTAATAATAAATAATCTGATTTACATGAAAAAACACAACAGTTTAAGATCTAATCCCATATTTATTTTAATAAAGACTGGATCTACAATCAATTAAAACAAAACTTTTTTATTCAGGAAGGCTTTAATAAACTCTCCCATTCCAGATTGATAACTTCTATTTATTTATTTCTCATCCTCTTTTTTGTGTGTTTTTTGCTTTTCTATTAATTTGTAATTTAATGTAAATCCCTTCATTGTGGATGCATTTCAACCTATATATATATATACATATATATATTATTTTCTTTTTTATGTATACCTATATACACATCACCAGTTTTCAATCTGCTTGTTTTATTCCCATTTTCCTTTTCTCCACATAATTCAGATGTCTACAGTGATGCAGCACCCCCCCCCCCCCCCCCAAATGTGTAGTCAGAATGCTATTGATTGTCTCCATGGCAACGGGAAGATCACTGACTGTGCATCTAATCCATCAAACCAAATGAAGAGCAGACTGACTCTAATGAAAAGCAGTGAGTCGTAGATAAAAGAAGCTCTGCTTTTAGTTCGAAGGAATTTCCTCAAACAAAAAAGAAAAATGAATAAAAACTTTTACAGTATTTATAAATGTCAAAGCCATGCAGCTTCGGCTTTATTTAATAAAATAACTGCTTAAACTAACCTTCTGTTTCCCAGGTTTATTCTGGAATTAAAGTAGAATAGCAGGGATGGTCTGTTGGTCAGTCTCTGGCTGCTACGGATCTATCTATAAAGATCTTTAGGAGTCATTAGTGCTGATGTCTTGTTTCCTTTACAAACCATCTGTTTTTTTTCCTCAGCTGATTCAGGAAGAACTGATGCTTTTTTCCTTCTATGAAACATTTATTTCACAGAGTTCAGACCCTCAGAATCAAAATAAAGACTTAAAGAGAAAACTCCAGTTTTTAGAAAATATCCTTAAACCAATCGGTTCCAAGCAGCAGCGGCCTGTAAACATTTATAGTGTTTAAAACTAGGAATGCAAATATTAGCAGATTCTGCTTTTTCTAGAAGCTGGAAAGTTCTGGCATCCATGCTGCTCTCTGGGTTTATTGGTACAGATGAAGCATCAGCATCTTTTACTGCCGCCGCCGCCGCCCAGTGACCAGCAGCGGATCTCTGATGTCTCCTCATGTTGCTTCACATTGTTTGGAGCAGAGGAAGCGATCCAGTGAAGATGGTCATCTATGGAGAGAAATCAACAAATAAAAGCTGGCTTTGATAAATATTCCATTAAATAAATAAATATCTCCATGAAATAAAACTTAAGAAATATGTTTAAATAATTCTGAGTTAATTATATTATATTTTAAATGTTTCATTTATTCAAAGATTTCTTAATGATTAAATTAATTTCATTATTTTATTTTGTAAAGCTACTTTA